TGGAGGTTCTGATTGACTTTGCTCTCGCTCGCTCGCTCTCTCTCTCTCTCTCTCTCTCCGCCTCTCCCTCCCTCCCCCTCTCCCTCTCCCTCTCCCTCTAGAGTTAGACAGGTTATTCGCACCATAAGGTCTTTTTTGTTTTCCTGATGATAGGCGTTAAACCTGTTTGCTCGCTTCCGGATATTTTGAATCGATCTCCCACAAAGATGTGATCCTCTTGAACCCAACATATCCAAAGGCCCTAATTCCCGAGATTCGCCAGATTCGGTTGTGTGTGCCTCAAAGGCCCTGATGTCAAGTCCGACAAAAGAGCCCGGCATGGCCAACTCCGCTCTTGGCCAAGGGGCTTCCCCTCGTTTTCCCACTGCTTCTGCCAAGACCTCCGCTTAGGATTCCAAGGCATCCCGAGAGAATTCTTGGAATCTTGAGATGCGCTTCTAAGACTTGGGAGACAGTTCTTGTTGGGCTCCCCGACGCCTATGTCATCTCTTCAGGGCCCAGCCTGGCATTCATCAGCATCTGTACTGCCAGATGCTCCGTCTGAGGGATAATGCGCCTCAGAGGCATCCCAAGAACTCCCGGTTGCCAACATTTGACGGCTAAGGCTCGCTTAAGGCTTCAAACTTAGATGAGTTTGTGCTTTTTTTCCCTCAGCCCATCAAATAAGTACCGTGCATACCAATCAAAACTCGCATCTTCACCCAAATACTGCCAAACCAATGATGCCAGTGTAAGATGTGTAAGCCCCAGTGTCAGACCACTTACGTATAGGCAAGACCACTCCAAAAAGGACAAATTATGACCAAAGCAACGAAAAACTTCTGCACTACACGTGGAGCGCATCATGCGACGCCATCCGACGTCCACAGACTCTCAAAAGTCATCGGTTTCGTCGCTTCAGGCGAGTTTACGAGAGCAATATGGAATAAACACGAAGCAAATGAACATCCACATCCAAGAGCCCCAGAGGCAAGCGGGCCCCTCTTGCGATGTGGACCAGAGAACGGTTCCCTGGGCTGCCTTGTCTTCGCTTCCCTTCATGTGGGCCTCGGCCCGGTCCCTTCAGGTGGCTTCGGGCCTTGGACTCCTTGTCTCCGCTTGTCTATCCTCCCCATTCATGTGGGTGGCCCCATCAACGTTCCTTTATGGACGGCAGCGATGTCAAAAATCAGTTCACGGGTCTTTTCTTGTGACAACGCCTTCATGTTGTGGGCAATAGTGCAGGCTGGCATGGTCAGCCGGTGTAGGAAAACCTTTTTTCTGATCCTGTGCGATCTCAAGTGTGGACGTTGGCCCAGCATCCACCCCATCAAGCGTGGATGTTGGCCAGAGGGTGGGACCCAAGTCTCTTGCTGCAAAAAAACTGGCATTTTTTCTGAGAATCCAAGAACGCAAGGAAAGCGAGGACTTAAACAAACAAAAACACAAGCCCAACAGCCAAAGGACTCTGAATCATCTTTGGTAAAGATGAAGTTTGGATGCGTTGCTTTATGGATGCCTCTTCCCCAAATTCTCTCAAACACATATCAACAACATGCATGTTCCGCATCATGGAAGCTGCTCCCGCGAGATCACGAGGTTTGATGATGCTTCATATCGTTCTCGGTGGTTGTCCTATTGTTGCTTGATTAGTTTGATGATTTTGTGGATATGTTTCATGCTGTCGTTATGAGCGCGGGCTCATACAGAGCGCAATCTAAACCGCAACGACCGCGCATCTGTCGCCTCCCTTCCCCCCTCCTTTACCGATTTCGATTCGATGAATCGGAAGCCCACCTGGTAGATTCAGGACCACTCCCCGCCTCCATTTTCTTCAATAATTTTTGGCCAGACGCAACTTGACCGGGGTTGAACCGGTTCCTGGCTAAAGCAAGTAAAACTCAAGCCTTGCTCTACGCCAAATTCGTGATAATTGGCAGAATTCTGTACGTGCGTACGTCTATACTGTAGCTTTAACGCATGTGCATAAAGTATCTTTTTTGCGGTCCTGCCTAGCTATGCTTGCTGCGGTGCGCCGCGGCGGGTTTGTTGCTAGCTGCCCAATTGTGCTGAGAAGCAACACAAATTTCTGAAATGAGCCAGGTGACATTGTTGCAAAGATGAGCGGTGATACCAGGAACTCGATAAAGCCAACCTTCCGCGAAGCTCGGGCATACTGGCAAAGTGCAGCAAGTGAAACTAGGCCCAACCACGCCTCCCATGCTCCACTTGAAATTAAAGAAGCCTGCTCTCCAAGTACCCTGACCTCTCCTCCAAACATCCGAATCGCAAGAATGGTACGGCGACACCTCGCAAGCCCACAAGCCCGCAAGCCCGCAAGCCCTCAAGACAGATCCGGACCTGAGAAAAGGGCCGGTTGACAGCTGCGCGATCATTGAGGGCCTGGACTGGCCTTGGAATGGTCAAAAGTGGCCAGCACACGGTTAATTCTGGTTAGTTGTGACCCTGTTCACTTTCAAATGGACCTGCGCAAACTGTCCTATCATTCGTCAAACCCTGAGACCTTCTGCGCCGAAGGGCACCCCGAGCCGTTGTTCGGCGTCGCCTTGCAGGAAGAACCTGAGCTGCTGAAGAGCCATATGGGCCAGCCAAATGCAACTCCGAAGACTGGTCCCTGCCTCATAGTCCAAGCTGCTAAGCTGAACCATTCCTGTGTACGTGCTCGTCTAGCTTGAGCTGTGCTATCTTCACTGTGATGTGTAAGTGGAGGTTGTTCAGCCACGGAACTGACCGCATTGTTGCCTAGGGTGGGCCTTGTGGAGTCCAGGACTTCTTTGTATGTGGCCGAGACGCCTTGCAACCTGCTTGTAGCTTTCTACAAGCCTTCAGCGAAAAAGCCTTCAGCCGAAGATCTGGCTGTGCGAGGGCTGCTGACTCCAATCTGTATCGCAGCATCGGGACAAACGCAGCGTTGCAGATCCGGAGTTTATGGATATATTGCTGTGCGCCAGAGGTGATGCAAAGCTTCCTGTCCTTGCCGAATCTCTCCCTGACCTCTTGCAGCATGGGCTGTAGAAGTTGAAAGACAAACGTGACTTTCAGGTAATTGACGTGATGTGTCTGTTGGACCTCTGGGCCATCTGTGCAATGCACAGTGTTGCGGCCTGAGGGTGATCAAGGTAGCATGGCCTGGAGTATTTGCTGAGAACTGCTCTGTCGTCCGCATAGCCTAAGCCGTTTCATAGCAGCTGTTGGCCACAAAACCACGCTGATCCACGGTGTCGACTTCGTGCATGATCATACTGTGCAAGTAGGCGCGCCGAATGCCCGGCGTCGACTCCTGCCATGAGCTGACATTTCCTGCGAACTATGAAGTGCTGTAAGCTCTGGATGGTCGTCCTGAGCGAGAGCACCACTGGGGCCGCCATACCGCGTGAGGGCAAACCTGAGGGCCTTCAATGCTGACCCTGTCTTGCGTGCGTCCAGCTGTCTCCACTGATCTGCGAATGATGCGTATGCATTGTGCTTCGGAGCGGCCTTGACGGAAACCGAACTGTGAAGGCCGAAGAGAGTCATCCGGTGCCTACTCCAAAGGTCTTTCTTCAAGATGCAGCTCAGCTTGGATGGAGTGGTTCAGTGGGCCCTCCGCATGGGTGGCTGCGACTTTGTGTTGGGGCACCGGCTTGCCCTATTTGCTTGTTGGTGTCGCCACGGGCATTAAAATACTGCCAACAAGCACGGCGCGACAAAACATTCGGGCTCAAAGCAGGTCCAACAAAATCAGAGGCGATCCGTACAGGCAAATATGTTGAAGTGGATCAAGCACGCTCGGAGCTCAAACCAGTCAAGCTAGCAAAACAACCCTATCGCAAGAAGGCCCAAACTGCCTGAACCGTGCAGAAACACCCACCGCAAACCGTCAAACTCCAATAGCCGTTTAAGAAGCTTGGAGGTAACATTCCTTTGTGAATCCAAGAAGCTCTTCAAGGACCTGCCATGCCCAAATTCTGCTGATTCCTTGGATTTTTTTATTTTGAGAGCGCTGGAATCAGAGTCAAGTCTGCAGTCTGAGTTTCACTTCTCAGTATGGTCTGCTAGGACATCCGGGCCAATTCACTCCTCCCAAAATACGAAGCCCCTCCAGGACACATGCATCGCTGCACATCATGAGAGATTAAGGCTCTCAAGGCTCTAAGGAATTGGGATCTCTTACTCAGTGCGCTGAGTGGAAATTACAAGCTGCAACTGAATGCTACCCGTTCTGCTAACGCAATCGGACTTCAGAAAAGCTCCAGCTCTGGCTAAAGAAGGAAAGAATGAAGAGCCAAACTTCACGCTCCAATCAGCTTCTTCACCATATTCGGGGTACAGCTCATACTCCAAGCGTGTCGGTGCTGGGCCGACACTTCAAGATTTATGGACTCTGACATGAGCTCGCTATCCCCTGCTGTTTTTGGGATGACTTGGGATGTTTCAATGCTGTTGAGGTTGGGCTGAGGATCGGAACGGCTTCATGGAGTTGGAGATGTCTGCAAAGTGCAGGAAGAGGTTGATCATCCTTGGGGCGCTGTGGGCTCAGAAGGGTTCAGGGGCTAGATTGGATATGAGGGTTTGTTTTTTCCAGGGCCCTCTATATGATGCATGTGCAACCAAATTAATGGCTACCAACACAGAGGCAAGATGCGCATGGCAAGGGAGAGGGGGAGGTGAACAAAAATGGAGGAGGTCCCGGCTGTGCGAACGGGAGCCCCCTCGGTGATGCTGGCTCCTACAGCCTCGTTCAAGACTTAGATCACGAAATCTGGCCTCTTTCAGTTGCCCGAAGAGTGTCACTGCTACTATTGTGTGGGCCTACGAGCTTGCCACAAAAAGAGAGAGAGCAACTCATAAACTCTCAAGGAGGCATGAGGCGGCAGAGGGCGGCGACCGGCAGCACTCGGCTTTTTTCTCCGCGGCCGGGGGCCAGATTCGAAGGCCGTGGGAGCGGCACTTTTGGCTCTCTTTTGCTCTAAGAGGGTTGAGTGACGCGCCGTTTTTTCGCGCCACGGTCACTAGGGACACTAGGCTTCGGCAGGAGAGTTGCTGGGCTTCTTCGCATCGTAGTACACATCCTCGCGCTTGGCCCGATCCTGTCATGTACTGTTGCACCCGCTTTGGTATCAGCGGTTACCCGCTACTATTGGAAGTTCCTCGCCTGGGGATCCCGATTTGTGGACAGAAAAAAAGGCTTTGTCATCTAAAAACAAACTGAAAGAGATCCCAGACCACGTCCCTGGTTATAGAGGATACGCAACAACCCCAAGATTGTTTGGGGGTGGGGGGGGCCAATTACTAACGCGAGTGCAACCTTCGAAATATTTGGAGAAGGGATGTTGTCGAGATCTGTTTCGCGTAAGTCCTTGTTGCGAGCGAGGTAAGTCTCACGACCATGGATGATGCGCTCGACCACGGTGTCGTGACAGAGCTCCTCCGCATTCTTCCCTGTTCTGTTAAGGTGTTGTGCTCGGGTTCGCGGAGCTTGTGGAGCCTCGACGGTGTTTGGCATCCCCGTGGAACTATGCATGTGATCCCATCCCATGTGGAGCTGCTAGAAATCTTGCGGGGGCGGGGGCGGCAAGGGCAGTACCAGACTGAAGTACGGACGGCACGACGGCACGGAAGCCGTGAATGCTTGTGTATGTCTCTACCCATGCAACTGTGATCAGCAATGGTCAGGTCAGGTCTTGTAGGTGCTGTCCCTCTTGTGAACTGAAATTTGCAACTCTAATGACTCTAATGCCAACCCAGAACATCATCCACAAGCAACTGCGAAATTGAAGCGTGTACTCAGGTCGCCACATCCCTGCTCCTAAGTTGCAAGGCAACAAGCAAGCAAGCCCCAACGCTTTGCTTGTGTGCTCCAGAGTGACGATCCGAAATCTTCAGATCCCAACTCCCAAAAGGCCCCCTGCCAAAAGGCCCTCTGTCCGGCCACTTCGAGGCGATCTCACGGAAAATCCCTTTGCCTTGGGCCACCTGCAGAAGTGGACTGCTTCATGACTCTTTTAGCTTGACTCCTAGACCTCTGAGGGTAGGCTCGCGCAGATGACTTCAGCAGCTTTCACGGCATGCCTCGAACCGCTCGCTTTGCATAGAGCCCGTTATGCGCAGGTGGCCCGAGCCGCGAGCTACGACATGGATGTCCCAGGTCTTGATGAGATCCTCCGTAATATACCTCTTGCAGCTCGCAGCTTCGGAGAGGGTTTGAAAGATTCCGGAGCATTCTGCCTTGAAACGCAACATCTGAATCTTGGCACTTTGCGTGCTTTTCAGCCCGCATTTACCAGACCCGTTAGACCCGCTATGGGTTCAGCTTGTGTGCATGTAGTATCGGCGCACCTCGGGGCGCCAATGATGACTTCATCGACCCACTTGCAGGCACAGACGTTCCTCAGCTGTGGATCCACAGGACTCCAGGACACTGCAGATGAGATTTATTCAGCAGAACGAGCCCTCAAAAGAGGACTCTTATTTTGAGGACCCCGCCTGAGACGTGATAAGTTAACTCCTGCAACTACTCCGCTTCTGCTCATCCAGGAGATGCATTTTTTGTCAGGGATTTCTTCCATCTGGGACATGGCTTTCTGCGAGGAAACGCAACAATCATCGTGTGCCATCACACGAATGCTGCCATAAAGCAGCAATGAAGCACTTGCCACAGCCAAGCTTCAGCACCCGCTCGTTCAAGTTCATGACCTGGAAGCAGGAAAACTTGGAAGGGAGAGGCATCCACATTGAGGATGCTCAGGCAGCGGGGTGCTGCCAATTTCTGGCCCTTGAGCCCTTTTTGAAGCTTGCCTGCGTGCGCACCTGGCTAGACCCCACTGACTGGTGCTACCATATGTTAATCTCGGCCAGCAAATTGCAGGAAATTTCCAGAACATCTGAACAGTTGCTTGTCAGCTGTGTGGCTGGAAGATTCTGTCCACGTGCTCGGCTGATGCTTGCGTCGTCGTAGATGCCGACTAGGAGGAAGGTTCCGAGAGAGCGGGCCTTCTCAAGACTCGCATCCACCTATCTTTTACGAGGCCTGTGACTCTGGCAACCCAGCCCAGCCACCAGAAAACAAGTCTTCCAAAAAACCCTGGACGGGGCCAAACGGGGACGAGGGGGCCAAGGTACACCCCACTCACCGACCCCACACCAGAGACCTTGGGGTGCACAACCCACAGATTCTCATGCTTGTGCCACGAAGTAGCCGGGCAAAGCTTACATGTGCTGAACTCGGTTCTCGCCTGCCCTCTGCGGAACTTCCAGCACCACAAGACAGCTATGGAGCCCTTCTTCACTTCAGTTACAACACTTTCTTAATCATATTGACCCCCATGGCTTTCTGTCTCACCCCTAAACCCTCCCGCCCGAGGACACGATCATCAAGCTAGAGCGTGGTCGACCTCCTTGAGGAACTCGGCATGGCCAACATGGAACCTGTGGTCGTCGAGATGTCTTGGGTCTTTTCCGGTTTTGCACTGTGTGACTTTCGGATCTTGGAATATGCTGCGTTCTGTTTCTCCGGAGTTTGGGGCTTGGGGGACGTTGTGCTCAAGCTTTTTGGGGTATACGCGGCCTACAAGCCCGGACCCATGCGAGTCCACCACAAGTGGGTGTTGGAGGTTAAGGACACACATGCCTTTGGTTGTCAACACCAGGATGTTCTTAAATGAATGCTCACCGGGCAGCATGTCAAAAGAGCCGCAGGCATAGACGACCCTGTCCTGCAGCATGAACAAGGTTCATACCCCTGTTTGAAGGCAAAGCAGCCTCAAACTCCAAACGCTATCTCAGTCAGTTTTGTGAACCACGACACGGGCCCAAGACTCGCAAGCAACAGCCCAAAGCTGACGCCCTGTTGCAGACTTTTGTTCTTGTTTAGAGTTTTCTTTAAGAGGTTCCCACTCGGACTTGCAGGTGGCAAATTCGGTGCGTCTACGATTTGCCTTGACCACTCACCGCATCTGGCGCGTCAGCGCATCAATGCCTTGTCCAGCATCACCACCTGCCACCTTGAAAGCTTGCCAACTAACTAAGCAGCTAGTCCTTGCCTAGTCCTTGCTGCTCGTCGCCATCACCAAAGGAGCATGGAGACCCCAAGGGCTCACAAGGACTCAATATTCTTAAGCCTCCGGCGCGCTAGCCATCCCAAGGTCCACCCTCAGGCTTGTTTGTACCATTGTGCGCACCTTTTGAGTTCTCTGTTGACTCGGAGCTGAGCCCATATTGCCATAACGCATCGCAGCCCTGTAAATCTCTAAGCCAGCAAGCCAGCAAATTCCGTGAGCCGCAGTCCTCCGAGGTTGGTTGCTTTGCTGTGGAAAACCTGGTCTCACGGAAGGCTTCAGAGCTTCGGCGAGATTCGGCATGTGGGAGGAGTCGGGGACAAGCAGCGGCATCCATGCACAGCTGACAGAACATGGATACACATGGCACGTGGCAGAGGCAGAACGTGGCAGAACAATCGAAACTGACATGCCTTCCACTACTCCAACCCTTCATAATCTTTAATACAGAAGCACAGTGCTCCGAATGCTCCAGGTGACTCCCGAATCCGCCGAGTGCTGGCCAACAGCTGCACAGGAGCTTTAGTCCGCTGCCTCGGCAATGCTCTCTGGGCTTTTCTCTTGTGGCCCAGAATGGCCAAAGAGTTGGCATACTTTAATGATTAACGTGATTCTAAAACTTACCTATTTTTCCAGGCCAAATCGCTGATAGCCAGCAGGTTGGGCTGCTGGCAGGCCTCTCCAAGCACAACGTCACTTATGCACTTTCCTGCAACCGCCCATCATGAAACTCTGCTTTGTTCTCTCTTCAATTTGAGAAGGGCCTCTACGACTCTACGACCTGGCCGGTTGAAGTTTCGACCTCCAAGCGTCCCTGAAGACCTACTGCCCAGTAGCATGTGAAAACATGTGAAATGCCTGCAGATGACTGACTGTGCCTTCTTCAGAGCGCGTGCTGCCAGTCGGCTCCGGCACAGCTGCCGCCGTGATCTTTTCTTTGAGGGATCGACGGTCCTCACAGAGCTGGCGTTTATAGACGGTCCCTTGCAAGTACTGAGTGCAGAAACAGGTCGAAAACTCAAGCCAAAAACAACAAGGGGTGAGGGATCTGAGGACAAGCGCTGCCCGATGAAGGGGCGGCCATTCCCAGCACACTGAAGAGGGACCTTCTGGGGAACCATACCGCACGCACCTCTGCGAGGATGGCATGCTGTCTTGCCCCATGTGTCACTTTGGTGGGCCTGCTTGTTGATGTGTGCGCAGGCCCTCTTGCAAAACTGGGCCTTGCTGGCCTCGCATGCCGCTCACTCACAAAGGGTAAAGGCCTAGGCACAGAGTGTGAAAGTTGGGTTCGGGAGGGTTCCGGAGTTGAGCAAGAAAAGGGTCCCACAACAGCTGCCACAAAAGTCAGCCAGAGTGAAAGCCCCGCTGTGGCAAGTGTGAAATCTTTGAAATCTTGCGGTGAAAGCTCCTCCTCGCTCACCTTGTAGCTCTCACTGAGCTGGTCCACAGCAAGCAGAGCTTCCCGGAGGGTCTCAGAGAGATCTACCTGATGATGCCGCAGGTGCTATCACATGCAGGGTTTAGTTACCTCGGGTTCGGGAGCATGCGAAGCTCTAAGTTCCGTCACGCGAGCTCGCCAGCAAGCAAGATTCGGGTGAGTGTTTCTGCTTCACGGCTTTGGTTTTGGTTTGTCTTCCTACATTCTGGGGTGTACGAAGTGTAGTGACTCATGATGCGGCTACTTCTTCTCAGTAAGGCACTTTCACGAGTGGCTATTGCGACTCCTGGGGCAACAATTCACGCATACAGTCTCCTGACCCACAAGCAGCACTGAAACCGGTTCGAACGCGGGAGTTGACCCTCCTCCTGAATCTCTCTGTCTCGTGCCGTCCCCGAGGGTCTTGCTACGCAATGGCCTGAATCGCAAAACAAGTTTTCTTGAAACACCTCCGTCAAGATCCGAACGATTTCGCAGGTCCAAATCCTGAACCTTATGCCTTATGCTCTGTTGGCCAGCGTATGATTCCTATGCGGTCGCGAAGCATGGGCCGTCGGCATCATGCACCTTGGATGAACAAAAGGGGGCGCTGGAGCCGCTTCTTGCAGTGATGTGAAAGCGTGCTGAATGAAAAATGGCGCTACTGCTCAGCGATATCAAACTCCGAGGCGCTGCTCAATTGCGGCCTCCGAGCTGATCCGGTAACCTCGGCAGGAGGGGGGATGGCCGCGATACGCACTTGGGCCGCACTGATGAGGCATGCTCAAGCTCAAGTGGGCCACTAAACTACTCGCCGTACTAGCCCTACTAGCCGTACTAGCCTTGCAGCCGCATGGCCCATGTTGGGCGACTGCTGGCCAGCAAAGTCAGCTGGCTGGTTGCGTGACAAGGTCAGGAGTCGGCCAATAAGGTCCTTGCTGTCGAAGGAATGTTGCCAGATTAAGGTCTTTCGGCTTTTCTGCATATGCCCAAGCACGGAGGCCCCGGTCAACTCTCTCCGAATGTTGAAGCGCTTGCAAAGGCTCCGTGGTAGACACGCCCTCCGTGCGCTTGATGATGCGAAGGCGTCCTGTGCAAGCCATCAAGGCTGACTTGCTGACTTCTCCATTTGCGCCAGTGATAGAACCGCCATGTCTACCTGCTTCTGATTCTGTGGCTGATTCAAGGAGAGAAACGATTCCGATGTGCTCACAATTTTCAGTTCTGAGGTAACGACCAAACATAGCCAACGAAAACGATCCCGAAACAACACATCCACCTGTTTGATACGTCCTACCGACACAAGTCCAAGCCGACGGCCCATCATCACCAACACCAACATCATCATCAAATTCGACCGTGACTTGATAAGCCCTGGACGTGCTTTGTGTCCACTATGCCCTGGTCCTGCATCGCGCATCTCGTCATATGCACAAACCCCCTGAGCGTTGACCGGCATGTCGTCTCCTGTTTTCAGGTGGCCGTTGGAATCTGCGGATCTCTAATCTAAGGCAACGTATGATCAACACTTCCCTCGAGTGCTTGGAATCGTTGACGAATGTCCGCTTCATCTTGAACATGTCATATGCAGCTTATGGAGCTATCAATACTTCCTTCTATGCCACGGCCTATCAGCTGCTTGCAAAGCCTCGAACCTGACTTTCTGGTTTCAGCTCCAGGCGCCGTGAATACAAAAGTCGGCACGAGCGCGTTCCAGTGTGGCGATCTCTGGTGAGTACGGAACCTCACGTGGCAACAGCTGTATGCAAGCTTGCGAACAGGTGAGGGACAGCGTAGGTTCGTCCAGAGAAAAAGCGACAGTCAGAGAAAGAGAGAGAGAGAGAGAGATTCCGCATCCGGCTAGATGGGGGTCGGCACCAAGCAACTACGCCCTCTCCCGCTTCGATATGTCTGTAGATCCTGCTGTCTGGTGGAACATTGAAGCCGCTGAAAAGCCGGTAACCCGTGAAGCCGTTGATGCCGTGAATTCCGGTGACGCCGTTGGCGCCGTGGGTGCGGGTGACGCTGTTGGCGCGGTGGATGCCTGTGAAACCCTTGTTGCTATTGACGTCTTCGCGTCTTGGCTCGGAACTTCACGTCTTCGCGTTGCGTTGACGCCGCTGATGTGTCTTGGCATCTTTGTGCGGAAAGTCACATATTGGCACCTTCACGTGCGAGGGTCGCGCCTTCACATCTTCGAGGCGTCGCCCCAAAAATCACGCACCCCTTCGGGCTTGTTCGGACATCCTGTCCGACTTTCCATGGCAAACTCATCCAGTGCTTATAAGACTTTTAAGCATCGCCGTGTTTTGCCAAGCAGCGTCGTACAGGATCTCATCAATCCACTTAATGTGATCCAAAAGACAGTACCGCTCATCTTGCTTCATGACCTTTCTGGCGTGTCAGGGAATGAATGGCTCTGGCTCGAACAAGACAGAAGCTTGAAGTCCAGAGTCGATAAAATCGGAAATGGAAAGCTTTACATCAGCCAGCATCACAGCATATCCTCGTCTACTGTCGTCCTACACAAATGCACGACCCTCCTCCCGCAGCCCCAACTCAGACCGCAGCTGGGACAGACTTGTTGTCGGCAATCTCCTGATCGGAGTGGATGCCCACCTCTGTGGCTGGAATCCGCTGGAATGCCTAAAGCAGGGCCTCTCGTTCTTACTGGCAAGAGAACTTCACCATTTCGGGTCAATGTCATTAAAGGGCGGATGTCAAGCCGAAGGCCTGGTGTCCCGCTAAGGATGTGTCAGTTTTTTGGTGAAATTGGGCTGGTGCTCGAGAACCTGCGAGGGCCATAGTTGCGCCTTGACAGTACGATTTCCCATTCCAAGCCAAGAAGCAACAAGCACATCACAGATGCTTTTGGCTTGCCGTATGGCATTGTAGTGCCCAGAGTGCATGATATCGAAGCATCCTTGGACGAGGCCGCTGGACCAACGTAACGAGCACTTTGTGATTCATGTCCGATCTTCTACCCGCACTCAGAGGCCATATGTAGTGATTCATCTTCTATCTTGTTTAGCGGCCTGCTTTCAGTTCTGTACCCAGCGATGACTCCCGCCGGATTGCAACAAGCATCCATCGATATAGCCACGCACGGGCTTGGTCTCCGACATGGCGGGACAGGGCAGTAGATTTCCAAGTCCCTTCAGCAACCTTGAACCCCGCAACCCGACACCATGATCCAGGTCAGCTCTCCGAAAAGTGGCTATCTAAGGTGTCGTGCTCATTCCGGCTTAGGATTAACGGGCTGAAAGGTGTGTGTTGCGCTTCGACAGGGTTTGTCTGCAAAGCTCATGAAATCGCTCAGTGTCAGTTCTCTGTGGAGCCATGCTGCAGCGACTAAGGGCCTCATTGCACATTGCGCGGCATTGCCGATTCCTCTGTAGAAGTTCCATTTCCAACTCAGCAAATCATTCTCCAAAGCCCGCAGTACAAAACTCCCACGCAAGCACTTGTACAAGATCTTGTCCAGGGGCCTAGACTCTGCCTGCTCAGATCCAAGCTGGATTAAGCTGGGGCACCACTTCAGTGAAAATTCAACATTCACACGTTCTTTCTAAATGCAGTGAGTGCGTAGGGTGCAGCGGTTCAAGTGGCTTCGGTTTGATAATCTAATCAGGTCATGGTTATAGATTTGCAGACAGACATGAAAGGCCAGGCGCAACTTGCGCGCTTCGGCAAGCCGGAGCAGATCCACCGCCTGCACCCATGGGCCAATGGGCTCTCATTGTCTCATTGCTTAAAGTTTAAAAACCCCGAAAACTAAGACACCTAAAGCCGCCTCTGTGTTTCAGATGCGGACGACTTCATGCCAGGAGGAGTATGCTGTGGCTGCACGACCTCGCAGGGCCTTCAGTAGGAGCATCAGGCTCCAAGTGATCTTTTCTGACACTTGCTCTTGCCTAAGGAGCGTCGCTCGATGCGGCGTGACGAGACTTGGGGCCAATCGTTAGTTCGCATTAGGAGCATCATGCTCCACCAGATGTGCGGAGTGGAAGGAATGCGGGAGCTTTGACACACTCAGTTGACGCTTCTGGCCCGCAGAAGGCATGAACTTTGCAATTGTTCTCTGCCGAACTGCTCTTCCTGGATTTCTCGATCGCGGCGGCAGGAGCCTCGGGAGGAGCCTCAGCAAAGCCTGAGTGGGACCCTGGCACCGAGAAACCCTGCTGTTCACAATCTGGCAGACTGAACGGTGTCCACGGAGAAACTGAAACTGCTTCAAAAGCCTTCAGGCTTCTTGATGGCTTCAGACCTACAAACGCCAGCCTGCCCTGACAACCCCCTGCTCATTGGGCAGAACGGGAAGTGCCTCCTGCGCCAGGCAGTCGCCATCCTGAAGCGTAGATTCTCTGGTCTTCCCGCAACCCAAACCCTTCAAGAAATGCGAACGACGAACGCCCTGAAGCTTTCGGTTCGTGCGGACCAATTTCGCGTGGACAAACTAACTGATTGTCTATGCTTGCCGCTGCCCACTTCTCCTTCTTCTTCTTTAGGAACTTTGTCAAGCGCAGTTGCCCCATGATATAAATAAACCAAAAGTGACTGTAGTCAGCATTTGCACCTCTACGAAAGAACATAACACGTTCGCCTCCTGAAGGAAGAGGAGCTTTGAAGCATCCCAGATGTCAGAATTCACCTGCAAAGAAATCGTGCTGTGCTCTTGGATTTCCGTCCCAGATTGGAATTCGGGATGGCGGGTGCCCTTTCTTCCACTCCCTAGCTCTGGGGCCAGCATTAGCATGGAATCCCCACTGTGGCGACATGAGTGATGGGAACATTGTTGTGCAGAAGGACCCCTTGACCAAACCTATACAAAAGACCTATACAAAAAGATAGCTTAAGCAACTGCTGCCCTGAACGGCTCTGAGCCATTCATGCTCTGCGGTGCTGCGCCCGTGGTAGTGGAATGGACAAAAGTATGCAGAACGGCCTCGTACAGCATCTGTACATCCTTCACCTTCATCAGGAGATGTTGCTAGAAAGCCTATTGGTTTATTACCTCGGGCCTGGGTGCCAAGACATCCTTTTCAAGGCAACTCTGCATGATAGCTCATACAGCCAGGCCAATGCAAAGAACAAGCACCTCCAGCATGGGCTGGAGGAATTTTTCAAACATCGCCGTGGCGGTAGGACTCAGGCTGCAGATACCATGAATTACATACTTGCCTTGTTCGCTGGCTTATAAGAGCGGGCGAGGGGGAAGGGGGTTGGGTGCGGGTCGGGGCGCAGCCCACTTGATGGATCGTGTTTTGGTGATGAAGCATTCGGAAAAGACTCGTGAGGTTGTGAAGGATGTCGCGATGTTCTTTGAAGCCAGCGCTTTTTGCATGGTTCAATTTAAAGAAAGCTGGGTTGAGGGGGTGGGGGGTGGGGGTGGGGGCGTGCAGCCACCCCCTCCATGGGTTAACGGATCATGAGGTTGTGAGAATGAAAGTGTATTGATGGCATGATGTGATTCGATTCAAGCTTTGCTCACATGGCTTATAACGAATCTTTGTTGTAAAGTTGATGCTGTACAAAAGTGTGGCTCAAGGCTTGCTGTGCTTTGGGCCTGCAAGAGGGGCTGTAAGAGCATTGGTAAAACAACAGTAAGCTACAGCTCTGAGCAGGCACTACACTTCAACACTAACCTTTAAAGTCGAGGCGCTGGGGTGCTTGAGCCACATGCTTGTATCGTCCCGCATTTGAATTGCGACCAGTACTTGAAGCAGACTTTTGCCCCCTTTAGATGCAGACATCACTACCCGCTAGTGGAATGAGAACAGTGATTGCTTCGGCTACCACACGGTCTTACGGGTCTTGTACATTTGGAGAATTGCGTGTTGACAGTCCTGGTTTGTGATCCCCCGAAGTGTCTTGTGTTCAAGCCCTTCGGATCCAGGGGGGATCAAAGAGCTGCAGAGAGCTGCTGCTCAACGCATGATGAAAACTACGCACCGTAAACGATATGCACGGGCAAAAAGAGTTCTCGCCATAGAACTTTAAGAGGCCGTGTAGTCTTGCCATGGATGCAGCCGAAGTGGCTTTCTGAAATATGGGCCCGGCTTTAAGCCATGTTCATCACAGGTTGATGGCGCAGAAGAGTTGCATTGTGCTGACAGTAGGCCGAGGACTATGAGAATGTCAATGGCATCATGGCGTTTGACCCATTTCTTAAATTTGGCTGGGGCACCATGGTGAAGTGCTGCGCGTTGTCGGTGTGCAGAATTGCCTCAATGCAAACCTTTCGAACGTCGTAGTACCTGCAGGTTGCGGGTAGTGTCACGTAGCTCGAACATGCTCGAAAGTATACCTATGTTCTCCGTAAGGCTGGAGGGTGCCCTGGAGCCTAACCCATGCGCTTCCCTGCTCTACAATGCTAACTCTGGAATCCAAATCACCATTTGCAGAGAGACCCCCAAGCGGACAAGTTGAAAGGCCAAGCAAGTGGCTCTTGTCAACCTCGGACCTTTGCACTTACTGCGGCCAGCACGCTGCGTCTTGGACAGTGTGGAGAAGATGTTGCCTCAGACGTGCAGCCCTAAACTGCTTGTAAAGTAGTCATCGTCAATATCCGTCAATATACCTTCACCCCTGGCCTGGAACACTGATGCATCTTCCGCAGCAAGCAACCCATCCCAGAATGTATTGTTGAAGGTTCCCGTGAAGCAATTAATACCTCGTTGATTCTTTTTCGAAGAATGGGGTCCTCCGACACAGCTTCTGGTGTCGGCTGCTGGCAAGCGTCATCTTGCCTGGCTCACCAGCTCGAACATCTTGGAGCAGTGCATGTTCTCCAGAGGAGACTTATCCTAGGTGCTGGCAGCTGTTTTCAGATCAGCTTCTTCGTACTCACGTTTGACAGCCATATGCTTTTGAAAGCTCGGGCATCGGGCACCCTCAACATTTTGAAGAATCCTCAATTTCGTACGAAACAACATGCAAAGCGCATTACATAAATCCCCTGTACAATGGGAGCATGAACGTCCAGAAGACCAAGCGACATGGCAGACATGGAAAAAAAGATTGATCCCGAGCTCCAAACCCTGCAAACAGCACCTTTGCCGTGCCGGAGCCGTCTTTTGAGCTTTTTCAAGCCAAAGTCGAACTTGGGGAGGAGTTTCACGTAGTGTGACAGTGTGACAATAAGCGCGACCACATGGTGCAAGAGTATCCACATGATTCAAGAGCCAAGCCAAGCCACGCAAAGCCTGACGGCAAATCTTTGAGGCCGGGCACTACAAGCAGCAGCGATTGCCCCTCCATCAAACGTTGTCTGAAGAAACCAGCTTGCTGAAGGACTTTGTCAAGCACTTAGGTCTTCAAAACTGCCGGAGGTGGGGGAGCTTGGGCCAGGTCCATGCCGGACCCGGTCAACCCCAAAACCATGGAGCCAAGAATCATTGTAGCGGAGGGCCAGCTCATGGGACGTCTCGATGAGGAAGACATTGTTCAGTCCTTCCCGGGCCATGGCATGCCATGCCATAGCATCAGCCTCAACTTTCCGCTCCTGCAGCCTTTTTCAACCTGCCTGGCAACGCAAGAGGCACCTCAGGCCGCAGGGAGGCTGTTAGGACCATGGGGCTGTGAAAAACCCAGGGGAAACTCCTGAAGCTCGGCCTCAAGCCCACGAAGTCTCAAAAGTTGCCATTTCAACTGTAAAGACACTCGCTCCTGGATGGCCCAGGTCATGGCAAACAGCGCTAGCCAGGAGAGCATACCTGAGGCTTTCGGGAGGCAACGCTTGGAGAGCTCCAATGTTGTCAACAAAAGGACGTCCCCACAAAGAGCTCCGCAGCGCCGATCGCTGCTCTTCGAAAGATTCAGTCGCATTCGCATATGAAGTCACTGAAGACATCTTGAGACACAAAAGTGGACGCCCTGAAGTGGCTTAGAACGCGGCGGTCAGACCATATCACCAAAGATGCCAGTGCGCGCATTGCCCAGAATTCCGAAACCCTGGGACCTTTCAAGAGCCCTGGCGCGCCTCTCCTCCCTCGTCAGGAATGCCTTTCGGGATGATGCTGCTGTCACATGATGCCCCGATACGATTTGGCGGGTGCTTGGGCAACAGTCTGCTTCGGGCTTTGCAGACACAGCCAGATCATCTTCATGCTCAACGTCGTTGTCC